ACGTGAAGACCTTCCGCAAACCAGTATGTAGGGTAGTCGGTAACTTTCTCATCGTAGTGTGCTGTTGCACAGCGGAAGCCTACCCTCCCATCCTGTTAGTCAGTTACAACGTTCGGAGCTCCTCAGTCGTGTTGCAAGCCTGAAGCAGGTGAGTTTGTGTTCTTACAATCTTCTCTGTTGAGGTTGTTCTGCAGTTGGAAGAAGCTCCTGTGACGCTTGTCATCCTGATGAAGGTCGCGATAAACTGCAACTATGGCGCATCACAGCACTGGGATGCGTTCGCTGAGGCTAGTCGAGCCGCTTATGACGGAATGGACGAGACCTCAGTGGGTGAATTGGTCACCACTACGTTCATCTCGCATCTTTGGTGGCAGCGCGAGCGCGTGAAACGACGAGTGCAAGTTGGGTCGGACGCCCTTCCTGTTAACCCAAGCTGCGATACTATGCTTATGGTCTATTCTCTACTTGAAGTTGAGGTCAGCCACACAACGGGCTCATATTTATGTTAGGCCATCATGAAGTCATCAGAGGCGGGGGATCTGCTGGAGAGCAACTGTTGAAATTCCGGAAACCCACTGATAATTAAAAACTCGTGAACTCCCCTCTCCTAATTAACATATTTTACATCTATAAGAAATTTCGAAACGGCTTCTAGTATGCCATAGAATGATAGAACGACGCGGGAATGTCAAACACTGCTTTGAGAAACATGGTGCTGGAGATCATCCCTCAAGTGTAAAACAATGTGCAGGCAGTAGATGCTCATGCACAGTTAATTGAGTTCGAGTCGACATACCCTCTGTTTATCATTCAGCCCATCGACTGGGATGTTCCTGAGGACCAGGTTCATGATGGTCAGAAAGGTAAGGGTGCATGGTTGATCAAGGTCCGACGCCCGAGTGGCGACTACAAGTAAGCATCTGTTGAGGGCCCTGGTTTATGAAGTAGTTGTGAAGGTCGCGGAGGAGGAATCGGCGCCGATGGAAGCGCGGGAATCCATTCAAGCGAGTGAGCCGAGTACCGGACATGGATGATATGGATGATGAGGAGTAAGGTCGTCATGTAGCCTCTAGACTTGATCACGACTCTGCATTAAGCGGTAGCGGTCTTTGTGTTTTCAGGGAATGCCAGCAGGTAGGAGCTCAGCAGGATGCCACACGACCTGATGAAGGAGGCGATGGTGAACAGGCCATGATGTGAGACCGAATGGGACGTCTTGGAGACCAATTATTGTGGTCGTCACCACGACAAGATACTGCGCGTTAACAGGCTGCCTTATGAGAGATCCCGTGAAGACTCCGCAAGGTGTATTTTATGAACGTGCAGCTATAACAGTGAGAAGATGCTCGTGTATGATACTAGCATTATGTGTGCAGGACTGGTTGGACTCGGGTAACTCCACATGCCCTGTGGATGGTCAGCCACTGACAGTATCACAACTGGTTGGAGCTCCGGAGGTGTTGGAGGCCATAGTGGGGTAGCTGATCTCTGATCAAGCGTCAGTTATGATGTACTCCTGTAGATGCCAGGCAGAGGCCCTCGCTGTTTTCGCTAAAGAGGAGGATGAAGGAGCCCCGAAGGCCACCACCGAGTAGGTGCTGATTCATCATCATATTATACTGTGTGGATTTTAGGATCAGTCAGGAAGAAACGGTTGAGGAGACCAAGCACAGCCTTTTGGGGGACCTTCCAGAGATCCGCAAGGAGAAACAAGGTGCAGTAGCCCCTCTGGCGCCGGATGGATATTGGATATTCCTCAGGAAGTTCGACGAGCCCGAGCAAGCCTAAGCACGCCGTGCGGATTCGGCGTACGAGTCAGATGCTGGTCAACGCCCCTGCAGAGCTGAAGTGTGCTCTCGATG